CCCCTAATTAGGGGTGGCAGAATATGAAGAGCACTTATGAACTCTTAAGATTTTATTACCTAGTGCTCACTCAATCACGAAGTCACTAATAGATAGCAGTGTGTGGACTCTGACATAAGTGACCAGATTTCACTGGGGAAACCAATAGGGTGCTGGTCCCTTCTTTCATGTAACTGATCTTCTCCAAAGACTGAACTCAAACCCCTCCCTCTCTAAATTCCCTGTTTTAATAGTGTGCGAATTATCTGTTAAAATCAATTTTACATCATTAAAGGTATATTGGCATTGTAAAGCTGTTGAACTATTTATAAATCTTTCCTGGCTCATCACTTCTACTCTAAAAGATCATATGAAGGAACTAAAACTTCACAGAAAAATCTCCTCTGTACCCTATGCAGGGGAGAGGAAACCCCAGGCAGCAGCATCAATTGTTTTTTTTTACCTCTGGACTGCATTGCGGAGGTGAAAAAAGAGGGGAGAAAGTGGCACAAAGGACCAGTGCAAGGAGGGCATGCTGCAAACTTGGGACAGGGCAGAAGTGGGGCAGGCACTGATGAAATAGATGAGGGACAGGTGACTGGCATCATTGCTAGGGCACTGGGAGGCCGGGGGGACAGGATTAGATTGGATGTGGGGGTGATGTATGTTGAGTAGCGAGTTTTAGAAGTGCAAATGAATGCCATTTGGTCCCTGCACCAGAAGAAGCCAGCAATAACTCTAGACAGGTCTCTGATGAGCATCTGCACTGAGGAATGTACTGTGTGTTCAGCCTTTTTTAATTGTCCTGGTTGCCAGAGCCCATCATACAAAACAGCCTCCGTAGCATCTAGTACAGTATGTAGAACATGAGCACCCCTAAACTAATAGTGTAAGCCCAAGGGAGAGAGCAAGCAAAACTAATGTATTCTCCTGCCTCTACTGTGGTTTGAGGCCCACTTAACAACTGTCTAGGTCAAGGAGCTAGAGGTAGCACATGGACCCATATTGGCAAGTGAATGGGAATTGGGTTTATTTCTTAATGGAGTAAATTATGTGCTCAGTATCATTAACAAAATCCATGTTCTTACACTTCTCTTTCTTCAACCATCGGGCTCCGGTCGTCCAGACAAAACACTTTGACAGCCCATACCTGGTGTATCACGAGAAGATCAAGACCAGCCGTGTATTTGTCCGTGACTGCAGCATGGTGTCGGTGTACCCACTAGTCTTGTTCGGTGGAGGGCAGGTTCATGTACAGCTGCAAAGAGGAGAGTTTATCATTTCTCTTGATGATGGCTGGATTCGTTTTGCAGCAGCCTCGCATCAGGTAATGAAATGAGGAAGGACTTCAAACCTTCCTTGCATCTGTAATGGTCACCGTGCAGAAGGTTCCTATTATTTTATTAAGCTTGTGTGTGTGTGTGTGTGTGTGTGTGTGTGTGTGTGTGTGTGTGTGTGTGTGTGTGTGTGTACTTTTCTCACTCAGGTGGCTGAATTGGTGAAAGAACTACGTTGTGAACTTGATCAGCTCCTTCAGGACAAAATCAAGAATCCCAGCATGGATTTATGTACATGCCCCCGGGGATCTCGCATCATTAGCATGATTGTAAAGCTTGTGACAACTCAGTAATCAGAGATTTGCCAGTATACTTGCCATTGACAACTGCCTGAGAAATGGATGACAGCATTATTGGGGTTTCTTGGGTTGCCATAGTGCAGCACTGATCCTCCAGAGCTAACTTGATGAAATGAACCTACCTTGCAAATTGTTTTTTCTTGATTATTTCCAGAGCTCTGCAAAACTTTTTCTGCCAAAAATAAAAAGGGCTCACTGTATAGACAAAGGAATGGAAAGATGGTGATCATGCTGTAGTAATATAAACCTCTAGTCTGGGTGAAAAAGCATAGCATTTCTACACAAGAAGAATTCTGTTGAACTGCTGGGAGCAAGGGATGTGCATTTTTTTGGCATAGCACTTTAACTGCCTTTTGTGAGGGAAATTGAGGAAGTACGTTTTGTGGCTTTCAAAATAATTCTGGTGTACAAAGAGAGCATTGCCCAGTTGGTCATCCCAGAATTTTTCTGAATTTGGTATAGACTAACTCATGCCACTTGGCCAAGAATTCCATTGAAGTCTTGGGGACTCTTCTTTCATTCCAGGGGCCTTTGGATCAGGTTCTCAAATCTCCTACCAGTAAGGAGAGGGAGAGATCAGACCTTGTACAATTTAAGTTGGACAGTTTCTGGTTCAAATATATATGAAGTCTCTAAGTTTGTGGTTTGTTCCTCCTAACCAGCTGCTTGGCTGGCAGTCTGAAAGATACCAGTGTTTGTGGGTTAAGCTGCTGAAATCCATTTAAATTCTGTTTTCTAGGAATGCTTATGTACTTCTTCATGTTTTTATATTGAAATTGATCTTTGTGTGGATGGAATCAACAGGAATGCTGAACTCTCATCCTAAGAAATCTTTTGGGAAATTCACACTAGATGAGTGGCAAAGAAGCAAAGTATTGAGATGTTTTAAAAACTTTAGGGTTATCCCTGCAAGGGAGGAGGGGAAAGCTTTTGAGCAGGGATCATGGAATATTCGGGACTGGAAATTAAATGTGATGCCTTCAATTCTACATTAATTTCTAGGATAGTAAAGTTGTTTCTAGCAGTGACCGTTCAGTGCCTTCTTGTGAAATAGCTTTATGGGGATGGTCATCAATTTTTGGAGTTTTGACATTTGTATTGCAAATCTTATTTAGCCCCATCCATCGGTAAAGAATGTATTTCCTTCGTGAATGAATAATCTAGAAGTGGCCCTTTAACAGATGGTAAGAAATGGGAAACAGTGATTGAAACAGTAGGGGAAGGAACTTCCTGCTGGCTCCTGTATGTTTTCTGTGGTGAAATTGGGATGCAGGCTCAGTACAATAGCTATTTCAGTATTTGTTAAAAGTGTTTATTAAAAACAAAATTGCTTCAAAAAACATCCAATAAGGAAGGGAAGAAAATAGAATTGAGGAAAAAGTATGAAGACACTTCTCATCCTGGTGCCATAGGATACTTCCAGAGCTGTCTGATTGCTAATGTCTAAGATTTTCATTGGTGTAATGTTAAGCAAAGAATTGGTTGAAATAATTAAGTTCATCCCTGGTAATGTATTATATTTGCAACAAGGATGATAATTTAAGAAAAAAAAAAAGTATTTGGTCTTCAGTCTTTTTAAACAAGCACTGTGGAATAGAAGCTGACGTAGCAGTGTTAGCAAATATGGAGCTAGCTATTTTTGTGTGTTGGACAGTGGGATTGGGAGGGGGTGGGACATGCTAAGCACTGAAGTACAGGATTCGGGGTCGGCAGAGCCCTAGCTGCTAGGGCATGGGTTCACCCAGGGGTTATTAGTAGGGTTGTACAAAGCTTCAGGTGCTGATTCGATTTGGAGGAGATTCAGCCCAATTCGGTGGCCAAATCTCTGAATCCAAATCGAATCGGGAGACCAGTAAAAGGGTCTGAATCGATTTGAAGCTCTCCAAATTGATTTAGAAAAGATTCGGAGATTCAGTTAGTCCCCACTTGCCACCACAGGGATCTGGACCCAGAGTCCGTGCCGGTAAGTAGGGGAGGAAACCATGGGCAGACCCCCCACCAGGCCCCATCCCTTGCCTGCACCCCCCTGACCCCCACCCACTTTCCCAGCCCC